AAATCACCTGCCAAACATTGTCTAGGTTGCCCTTGTGCTGCTAAAACAGCTCTGGTGCATTTGAGGATACAGGACCTCTACAGGTTTTAGCCTGTAGAAACAAGGTAGAACTGTAAGATAGAATGCAAGATAACTAGTTTATTCCAATAAAGGCATGGAAATCATGCCTAACTTGATCCAGAGGTATAATTAATGTGAATGTCACATCCATCTTAATAATTTTTACTAAAATGTTTCAAGAAGGCCTTATTCAATCAGTCTGGATTAAAACTGTGCTCATGGCTAGGATAATTAAGAACTGTGACAGAAAGATAGGCCTGAGCACTCATAGGACAGATGCAGTTACATTTTCATATTTTACGGAAATTAATGTTCAACGTTCTTGAATCTTCAAATGAATAAATAGAGATAGGAATTGACAGGACACACATGATTGTTCTCTTAGTATTTAGGTATAAACACCAAAGCCAGCAACACAAAACAAAGATGAAAACCACAACAAAGAGACATCAAAGCGACCACCACAGTGATTCTGCTTTAGAAACAGTTTGGTACCTGTTGAAGTTCAGCAGCGGCTGGCTTTGCCACAAATGACAGCTCACCTTATCACTGTGCTGGGCTGTGGGCGGCATTTTACTGAGCTTTAACATAACCCAACTTAGTTTTAGATGCAGTCTATGCAGATGCTTGTGAAGAGCCTAAGTTGTGTTCAAAGTTGTTTCTGCCCTGGAGCAGTCTCCACTTTACCACTGTGCTCTCGTACTTTTGAGCAATAAAAATAAAAGAAATGTCCATGTCCACGCTGGAGCTGTGCCACTATTTTCCTCCGACGACACATGAACTGAAATCAGCTGATTTCAGTTTCAAAATTGCAAGAGTTGATAAGCGGGATCGATAGTCAGGCAGACTAACGAAGGAATTGGGCTACATCCCTATGAATAAAACCACTAACTGTTAGTGGTGTGCGATACTGCATATTTTGGTATTGATCCCATACCAAGGAAATACGGGCCAGTATCGCTCTTACCGATACTTTTCAACAAATAAGGTGGATGCGTCATTGAATTGCTAAATCTCAATTAATTTTCTTGACTTTAAGTGTTTTTTGTGATTATCATTTTTTATTATTAAAATAGCTAAAACCCAGGACATAATTTGGACAAAGTTTATAAATAAATAGAAAGTGCTAATAGAAAATTAATATTATCACTTTCTTTTCTTTCTTGTTTTTTTTTTTTTTTTAGAAAAACCTTTAATTAAAAAGTGAATGCAAACCAGTAAACAAATTAAAACAAACAAGTACTGTTGAGAAATAATAATACAAAAATTACAATTAAAATTCCCAACAACAAAAACAACAACTGGTGAAAATATAAATAATATGTAAACAACTTAACAACCCCCAAAGCGTCTAAGCCATGTCACGTGGCGGCGCACCATCTAAACACAAGAGGGGTGAGGTGGAGCTGACACAGCAGCGGCGAGTCCAGCGACCTGGCTGTTTTGTCTTTGCCGAAACCACAGCATTGCAAACAAGCAGAACTTAAAGTAAAGAATCGATCTCACCAGGCCAGTATCGATCCGATACGGATGCCGACTTGGCATCGATACAATCGATATTTGGATTGATTCGCCCACCACTACTACCTGTCTCAACAAACATTTGTTCTAAGTTTTTAAAGTGATGCAGATTTTCAGATGCACTTAAATAAATGTTGAAAATCATCAGTTCCACTTTCCAGTTAGCTGATTTTAAGAGAAGATGTGTGCAGCATGTTACATCAGGTACTAAAATGTTAAAGATGAGGCTTAAAAAGGTACTACCTCCGTAACACCCTCTGGTCTCCTTACATGATTAACTGTGTTTGTTTGCATGTTGTCACTGATTTTGTGCTGGCACCACATTTACAGCTGTTCTATATGTGTGAATCTGCTGTTGTCATCCACCTCAGTTTCTAGTAGCATGCTCATCATCCTCACTCTGTCCCTGAAAATGGCTACTGAGTTTTTAGACTTTAGTAAAGCACCATGATAAATGTGATTATTGTCAGTTTCTTTTCTCTCTCCTGTCTGTGTTCCATTACTGTGTAACCAAGGTTTGTCTCCCTGTTGTGTATTATTTCCTTTGTTTTTCTAGATCTCTTCCTGTTTGCCCTAGCATGTTGGTGTGGCGTCACAGCTCATCGTCCAGTCCTTGTCTACTGCGCTTCACTGGTGCTTCCAATTTCACATTTGACCTTGTAGTTGACGTTGATTGCCCAAAAGGTTTTGTTGTTTCCTATGTCCTATGTGCTGCCAAAATAGGCACTAGAAAGGTTGCCTCTGAGCATTTTTGAATGTTAAAATTTATTACAAGCAAAAGAAAATCTATTTTTCTAGAATAAGTAAAATAACCACTCAATTAAAAAACAATTCAGTTTAATAAGAGTCTCTAGTTTGTTTTTATTGACTGTACGATGGAGCAATTTTTCCAGTGCCTCTCTTTTTTGGTTTTGTTATGTTTTTTGTGGAAAAGCAGCTAATCTCTTTAGATTATGTTGTATGTGAGTGCTAGTGTGTGCCTTATTTAAAAAGAAAAAGAAAAGAAAAAAGTCAAAGAAATTGGTGATGACATGTTGTTGTACTTGTGTAATTCCTTCTCCTCTGGAGTTCCCTTTTGAGTGATATGAGGAGGAAACATTCATAATTGTAAAAATGTTTTTTTTTCTTTTGACTTATTGTCTCAAAGCACATGATGCTGTTTTACTCTTGTTTCTGCAGATAATCGGATATAGAGGAGAATATTTTGTCAGGCATGTTTTAGTTTTATTAACTACACTGAAATTTTTGAAAAATAAAATCAAGAAAAAATGAATATGTTTGTTAAGTTTGCTAAGTTAAAAAAATAAACTTGTGCCAAATGTTTTGCGCAATCAGTATTCCTCCTTTTTAGGACTTTTGATTTGAGGTGTTTTTACCAAATGCAGTCGGTAGACCCTACAGACCCACATTTATATGGGCTGCAGTTCGTTTCCTTGACTAATGGATCAGTATTGCTCCAGGTAGGGCTGGGCCATATTATACGTTTCATGATAATACCGGTACAATGTTAGGCAATGGTAAGAAAATGAAATATTGCAATAGATTATGAGTAAAACACGCATGCACAATGCTTTTGTTTTCATACACACATGACGGAAAAAGCATGGCAGTGACGGAGAATGAGAAGGGCAAAAGCAGATCATTGAATGAAACAGATGAACCAGAATTGGTTTGTAGAAATGCAGCTTCAGTGATGTGGAACTGGTTTGGTTTTCGTCCATCAGAAAGCCACCAAAGCACTTTTTTTTTCCTTTGTAGAGCGGGCTGTCGTTATTACCATATTTTTCAGACTATAAGGCTGTCTTCGACAGTGCACCTTATGGTACGCCTTATGTATGAATTCTGGTTCTGCTTACTGACCTCCAACCGATTTTATGTGGCGCACGGCGCTCAAAAATCTATCAAAGAATGTTTTTGTATGACTTTGGTAAGCTACAAAGCCCCACCACTTGTCAGAGCATTACAGCTACTGTAGTCAGGAGCCTCACAGTAATACATACTGTGCTTCAACATAATATTACTGTATTGTGTGTGTGTGTAAGGACTCCAAAATGGCACCTGTTAAGAGACATGCTTATGAAGCGGATTTTAAACTCAAGGCTATCAGTCACGCAGTAGAACATGGGAATAGAGCAGCTGCGAGAGAATTCAGTATTAATGAATCAATGGTACAGAAGTGGAGGAAGCAAGAAGAATGAGTTGAGTAAAGTTAGACTTATCTGACTGTTTTAAATTCTCTCGCAGCTGCTCAATTCCCATGTTCTACTGCGTGACTGATAGCCTTGAGTTTAAAATTTCGCTTAATGCGCCTTATAATCCTGCGTGCCAGTTTCATGTTGCAAAGCACCTCTTTTTAACTTTTGTGGATATTATACATGGTTAGGCTCAGGATATGTCAGCCCATTTCCACTGGAAATGTCTTTTGGTTAAACTGTCAGCAAGGAATTAGCATTTGCACTGTTACATTTTTATATAGCTTTAATCCACATAAAAAACAGCTGCTTGTTTAAATGAAAATAAATTGATGGGTTTTTTTGGACTAATAAATTTGTGGAGTAAAGTATTTTGTCTTGCATCAATAATATCGTCAGTTATTTCGTTATCGCACATTTTTAAATTATATTGTGATAAATATTTTTGGCCATATTGCCCTGCCCTAGTTCCAGGTGTTCTCAAGTATTACATTCAGCATTGCATTTCTCACAATACACCAGTCGGCCACAACATTAAAAACCAATTAGAGTTTTTTCGTTAAAGTAGTACAATGTGTCGGTGTTGTTCCCACATCATCATAATAAATGTTGTTCCAGGTTCAGCATTGCAAGTGACCAATCACATTGTTGTGACGTCATACTTTTGCGACTTCAGAAAAAAGTGCCTTAAAAAAATAAAATCTACTTAACTTGCAAGAAACCACCTTTGTCCGCCGATCCATCAATTTGAACTCTTTGCATTTCAGGATACTGTTCTTTAATAAACGGTAAGCATTATACATATTGTCCTTGCAACATTGGAATTTCATGAATGAATGAATCGCTTGGCTTGCAAAAGTATGACATCACAACAATGTGATTGGTCACTTGCAATGTTGAACCTGGAACAACATTTATTATGATGATGTGGGAACAACACTGAGAAAGGATATCAGATCGTACTGGGATTAATAGAGTATTTCTTCTTCATCACCATCTATTTTTCTTTCCTTTCTTTTTTTAACCAGCAAGTGAGGTGTTGAAAGCGGAAATATTGACCATGTAGGGACATTGATAAAGGTAGGCCTTTTGTATCCCATGAAGCTTTATAGACAAAGTGGTTGGAAAGACATTAATCTCATAGAGCATCTGTGGGATGTTGGAAAAAACAAGTCTTTCTATGCAAACCCAACCGTCCAAATTCCAATACTTAAAAGTGCTTAAATCTGCTACCAATATCTTGGTGTCTGATGCCACAGGACACCTTCAGTCTGTACAGTGTATAAATAAGAATGGGGAAAAATGGTTTACTCAGTGGTGATGGCAGAGTTTTGATTTGACACTAATTCTACCACTCTTCTGACTGGATTTGCCATTTTTATAACTGATAGTAACAAAGACAATAATTGATGGTGTATCAGCGATGACTGATACATGACTAACTGTTACATGAATAGGGTGAGGGACCTATGGAATCTTTAATACCCAACATCCACATTGACAGCGAAACAACTAGTAGCTCAGAGGAGGAACCATCATGGAACCACCAAGGGTGGTGGAGAATGAAAGATCCTGTGGGACTTCCAGATACAGACGGACAAAATGGTGGTGGCTAACCAACCGGACATAGTGGTGGTAGACAAACAGAAGTAGACTGCCGTAGTGATAGATGTAGCGGTTCCAAATGACAGCAACATCAGAAAGAAGGAACACTGGAAAATTGAGAAATACCAAGGGCTCAGAGAAGAGCTGGAGAAGATGTGGAGGGTGAAGGTAACAGTAGTCCCGCCGGTAATCGGAGCACTAGGTAAGGTGATTCCCAAGCTCGGCGAGTGGCTCCAGCAGATTTGAGGAACAAAATCGGAGATCTATGTCCAGAAGAGTGCAGGATACTACACAGGACCCTCAAGCTCCCAGGCCTATGGTAGAGGACTTGAGCTTGAAGGATAGACTGCCTGGAGAGAGGGGAATGTATTATGTCCAGGGAAGGCTGTAGTTGTGTCACGATCCTGGGTCATTTAACCCAGCATTTTGAGTTTTAATATATTTTGACGTTTATGGTTTATGTTTAAGTTTATTATCTAAGTTAATTTCTATTTTGCCTATGTTGCCCTGTTATAGTTCCCCTGTGTTTAAGTCTCCCTCGCCCTTCATGTGTTTTATGTCTGCGTGTGCTATGTTGTCAAGCTCATGTTGTTTCTGTGTCTCAATATGTTTCCTGTTTTATTTTGAAGCGATCTGGTGTCCCATATTTATTGTTAGTTTTACTTTTCTCTGTGACGTCATATGTTCATTTTAATCAGCTGTTTCCCCTTCCTCTGACCACCTCCTGTATTTAGTCTTTGTGTTTTCATTCAGTCTTTGTCAGGTTGTCTGTTGTTTCTAGTCATGTTTCTGGTTTTTCATGTCAAGATGTTTCATGTTTTTTTAATATTTAACCTTGGTCTATGGTTGGCCTCCGGACCTGCTCCATCACCACTGGTGGACCCGTGGTTGTTTTTTGCGGGTGTTTTATAAATATTTTTTTGCCTTTGTCCCTTGTTTTGTATGTTTAAATCCAACCTTTAATAAATGACTTTGTTTTGTCTGCAATTGGGTCCTATATTCTCCACTCCACACAGTCAGCTTCTGCCTGTCTGTGAGAGAACGACCTGACCATGTTGGACCCAGCGGATATTTATTTTAGTGACTTTTTTGAGTTTTCTGTTTGTGTTATGCAACTTCGCGGACTGTGAATGATTACCTGTGCAGGGAAGCAGGAGTCTATTTGGGCTCAGCTGGCCCAGATAGCCACGGCCAACCCAAGGTTCTTGGACTGTTTACCAAAGAGTCAAAGAACTTTGTTACAACCACGATCTCCTCTACTTTGCAATCATTGCCACAGCAGCAGCTGCCCAGCATGCGGGTTGAATCACCCCAGCCCTGCTGGCTACATTCAGTCTCTCATCTGTCTCCACGCTAATGTTGCTGCAGCAGCGGACAAGCGCTTCATTTCCTCTACCTCGACCAGTTCCCTCTTTCAATGCCATGCCAGCCTGAGCTTTAGCAGGACCTACTTCCATCGTACCTTCTCCTAGGAGGAGGCGGTGTTCAAGTCGCCAACTGTTAAGTCTAATTGTTGAATGTTGCCATTGTGTTTCTTAAATTTGTACAGTCTTAGTTCAAGCAGTAGGATCAAAGCCATTCCTTTGATCCTGACCAC